GCAGTTGCGTTCTCGGAGCAGTTCGGTGTCGATGTTGGCGATAACATACTTGGCCTGTCGGGAGGCGGGGGTGCTGCAGCACCTCACTTCTAAGTCTAGGGTTTAGGGTTTAGGGTTTAGCCAAATCCCAAATCCCAAACGTCCTCTCGCCCGTCAACGCAAGAGCCTCGTCAAGCCACTCGATGTTGGCGATAACATACTTGGCCTGTCGGGAGGCGGGAGCGACGCGGACAGTGAAGGAGTTGGTGGTTTACGACAGAGCAGTAAAAGAAAAAGAATTGGGAAAACAAATAAATAAAATCAAAAAACTTTTGCCAACTCGAGGAGGAATTAATAATTCTGAAAGTGCATCTCATTTGCTGCCGCGCTACTGCAGCAGACTTCAGCTGTCTGTACACGTCAGCGACGTCGCAGAACACGTCGCCAAACGCGCGGCGCAGGTCTTCGTCTGCAGCCACAGGCAACGCAAACCCTAAACCCTAAACCCTAAACCCTAAACCCTAAACCCTAAACCCTAGACGCTGGAGCCTAGCGCCGGCAAACCCTCAACTGAGCCTGCGGAACCTACACGCACAGCAGCGCGAGAAACCCTCAAAACCGCCAAACCCTTAAAAACATAAAACCTAAAACCCAATGAACCCTAGTAATAAACCCTAATAATAAACCCCAATAATAAACCCCAATAATAAACCCTAGTAAACAGCAAACCCTAATAAACCTGTTGGCTCGCAGGGGCTTGTCGGTGGCGGCGGCGGCCATATGGCTGGTGGTGCAGCTGCTGAGCAGCAGCAGCAGCAGCAGCAGCAGCAGCAGCAGCCAGCAGCAGCAGCAGCAGCAGCTCGCGCTCCCCAAAGTCGCCGAAGTCGCCTCCGTCACGGGCGCAGGCGAACACACTCTCCGCTCCATCTACAAAGACATGCTCGACGTCGCTGAGCATTTGCTGCCCCCGGAGTTCCAGCCCGCAGTCGAGGGCGGCATCGAGGCCCTCAGGGCCAAAAACTGCCGCAGAAAAAGACCCCTCCAGTGACTCCCCCCAACGGGGGCCCCCGGGGGCCCCCGGGGGCCCCGGGGGGCCTCTGGGGGCCCCGGGGGGCCTCAGGGGGCCCCGGGGGGCCTCTGGGGGCCCCGGGGGGTCTCTGGGGGCCCCAGGGGGCCTCTGGGGGCCCCGGGGGGGCCTCGGGGGGCCCCGGGGGGCCCCGGGGGGCCCCGGGGGCCCCGCGGGGCGCAGGCCGCCGCCAGGGGGCCCCCCGAGACAAAACGGTGCCAGCGGCACCATGGGGGGCCCCGGGGGGCCCCAGGGGGCCTCATGGGGCTTTTGCGGGCTGTGGGGGGCCCCAGATGGCCTTAGGGGCCTTGAGGGGCCACAGGGGGCCCTTTGGGAGCTTTTGGGGGCCCCAGGGGGCCCCAGGGGGCCCCCATGTAGGGGCTGTGGGTTGGGGGCCCCAGGGTCCTTTGGGGCTTTCCGAGGGCCCCCAAGTGCCCTGCCAGCTAAGGGCTTCCTTAAGGGGCCCCGGGGGGGCTTTTGAGCGTTTGGGGGGGCCTGGGGGCCCTTCGGGGCCCCTTGGGGGCCCTTTGGGGGCCCCTTGGGGGCCCCTTGGGGACTTTTAGGGGGCCCCTGGGGGCCCCCAGAGATAATCAGAAGCACCCAGGGAAGCCTGTGGGGTCCTGGTTGGCTTCTGAATGCTTTAGAGGTATATAAACAACTCAAAAGTACCCTGGAGGGCCCCATGGGGGCCCCATGGGGGCCCCATGGGTCCTCTGGGGGCCCCATGGGGCTTCTGGGGGCCCCGTAGGGCCTCGGGGGGCCCCTGGGCCCTGCTTAGGGGCCCCGGGGCCCTTTTAATTGCCCTATTTGGTATTTTTGATAAGAAAAGACTCAGTGGACAACAGAGACACAAAGACTGTAATTAAAGTACCCAAATGCATGCAAAAAAGAAACCATTTAGTTTTTAAAAGGGTTTAGCCTTAAGGGGGGCCCCTGGGGACTCCAAAAGGGCCCCCAGGGGGGCCCCGTACAGATCCCGGGGGCCCCGTGGGACTTTAAAAGGCCACTTTGGGGCCCCCTAGTGGCGGCTTAGAGGCGCTGGGGGCCCCTTGAGGGCCCCTTGGGTACTCTGGGCCTCTTCAGGGGCCTCTAAGACTTCCTGTGGGGTTTTGGGGGGCCCCCGGGGGCCCCAGGGGGCCCCCCAAAACCCCTAGCGAGCCTTAAAATTGTGCCAAAGCTTTGGCCAGAAGACAAGGGGGCCCCCACGGGGGCCCCCCTGCTACGGACAGGGGGCCCCTTAGCCCCAATGAAATGAAAAGGGGGCCCCAAAAACAAAGAAGGGGGGCCCCCTAGGAGGGAGGGGGCCCCTCGGCCTACCCATGGGGGCCCCCAGGAGAATGGGGGGCCCCCTGAAGGCGAGGGGCCCCTTCTCTCTAGGGGCCCCCAGTACCCAGCTAGGGGCGCTAGACGGGAGGCAGCAGCAAATAATTTGGAATTAAAAATAATTAAAAACTAAAAAGAAATATAAATTGGCAAACTATTCGGAGAATTACTAAAGTTGCAAAAAGGCCTGCTTGCTTGGGGGCACGACAAGCCCAGCAGCAGCTGCTGCAGCAGCTGCTGCAGCAGCTGCTGCAGCAGCAGCGGCAGTAGCAACTGCAGCAGCAGCGGCAGTCGCAGTGCCTGTAGTAGCAGCAGCAGCTGTAGTAGCAGCAGATGCTGCAGTAGCAGCTGCAGTAGGGGTTGCTGCAGCTTCACCTGTTCTTGCTGCAGCAGCTGCACCTTCCCTGCTGCTGCTGCTGCTGCTGCTGCTGGTGGTGACCGAGCCAGACCTTCTGTGCCTTACTTCGCGCCTAGCCTCACCTGCTTCCATGGACGGAGCAGCAGCAGCAGCAGCAGCAGCAGCAGCAGCAGCGACAGCAGCAGCTCCTGCTGCTGCCATTGCATACGCAGCTGTGTCCGCCCCATGTTGCTGCTCTAGCTAGAGCAGCAGCTGCTGCAGCAACAGGTGCAGCAGCAAGAGCAGCTACTCTGGCTCCGTGATGCACGGCAGCAGCAGCTGCCGCAACTGCAGCAGCTCGAGTAGCTGCTATATCTCAAGAAGCTGCAGCTGCTGCAGCTTCTTGATGCCCAGCAGCAGCAGCAGCTGCTGCTGCAGCAGCAGCTAGAGGAGCTGCAGCTGCTGCAGCTTCTTGACGCCCAGCAGCAGCAGCAGCAGCTGCTGCTGCTGCTGCAGCTCGCGGAACTGCAGCTGCTGCAGCTTCTTGACGCCCGGCAGCAGCAGCAGGAGCTGCTGCTGCTGCTGCTGCTGCAGCAGCTAGAGGAGCTGCAGCTGCTGCAGCTTCTTGACTCCGAGCAGCACCATCATGGCTCCGGTGCTGGTCATGTGGCCTCCGAAGACAAGACCCAAAGCTTCTTCGAGAGAAACTTCGTGGCTTTCCAGCAGCTCGTCTTCGTCAGCAGCAAGCCTCCCGCTGCTCACCTGCAGCAGCAGCAGCAGCAGCAGCAGCAGCAGCAGCAGCAGCAGCTGAGGCGGCGGGGCTTCTCGCTGCAGCGGTAGCACTTCGCGCTGCTGCAGCAGCGCCGCAGCAGCAGCACGCGCCGCAGCAGCAGCAGCAGCAGATGCAACGCCCACAGCTACAGGAGCTGCACAACTAACTCCAGCAGCAGCAGCAGCAGCAGGAGGCGTGGCCGGCACTCCAAACCCTAAACCCTAAACCCTAAACCCTAAACCCTCGTACCTTTTCTCCGTCAATTATTAAATAGGGGATAAAGGGCTGGGCTGTATATTTGGCCCCAGGCAGCAGCAAAGAAGTGTTGTTCATCACCGGCACCAAACGCCCGCCCCGCTGCACACAAACCCTAAACCCTAAACCCTAAACCCTAAACCCTAAACCCTAGAGCCAGGCGGAGAGCCTGAGCTGCAGGAAAGAAGCAATACAAGCAAATGAACTAGGGTTTGCTGCCAAGTGCCACTTGTGCCGGATTCGGGCGTTTCTGCGTGAGGGTTTAGGGTTTAGGGTTTGGGGTTTCTCAGGCTGAAGGGCGAGGCCGCGGGGGAGCCGTTCCAAATTAGGGTTTAGGGTTTAGGGTTTAGGGTTTAGGGTTTGGGTTCACGAGGAGAAGCAGCTGCTAGTATTCAAACTAGGGTTTAGGGTTTGCCTCCGGGCTGGGGCCCCCGGCCCTGCGCTTAGGCCCCGCGCAGGGCCTCGGGCTTAGGGCTTAGGGTTTAGGGTTTAGGGTTTAGGGTTTAGGGCTTAGGGTTTAGGGTTTAGGGTTTACCACCCCCGCCTCCTCCTCAGCCTCGCAAGCCACGCAGTGCTCTACGCTGCGGTGCTTCGCCTCGAAGAGGCCGCAGACCACACAGTAAAGCCCTTTCTGCGGGCCGGGGCAATACTCCTAAATAATAAAATAAATAAATAAATAAATAAATAAATAAATAAATAAATAAATAAATAAAAATAAATAAATAAAATAAAATAACAATCAGAATGAGGGGTAATAGTTGTGGTGGGGGGGCTGGGGAGCAGCGGCAGCGGCGCTGCTGCTGCTGCTGCAGCAGCAGCAGCAGCAGCGGTGCCGCTGCGGCTGCAGCAGCAGCAGCAGCGGTGCCGCTGCAGGTGCAGCAGCAGACACAAGGCAGCAGCAGCAGCAGCAACCAGCAGAACGCAGCGGACAGAAAAGACGGCAGCAACAGCAGCAGCAACACCTACAGCTGCAGCAGCAGCAATAGCAGCAGCAACAGCAGCTGCAGCAGCAGCAACAGCACAACTAGCAGCAGCACCAGAAATAACAGCAGCAACAAAAGCAGAACTGGCCGTGGCAGCACCGACAACAGCAGCAGCAAAAACACAACTAGCAGCAGCAGCAGCAGCAAAGACACAACTAGCAGCAGCAGCAGAGGCACTAGCAGCAGCGGCAAAAGCACAAGCACCAGCAGCAACAGCAAAGCACAACTAGCAGCAGCAGCAACAGCTAAACCACAAGTAGCAGCAGCAGCAGCAGCAGCAGCAGCAGCAGCAGCAGCAGCAGCAGCAGCAGCAGCAGCAGCAGCAGCTCACTCTGAGCACAGTGAAGGTTTTGGTTTTGGAAAAGAAAGGAAGACAAAGAACAGCAGGCGGAGCATCCGAAACATCAAAAGAGTGTTTGCTGCCGTTCGGGAAGCAAACTGTCCGCTTTTTTACTGCACGCAGCAGCAGCAGCAGCAGCAGCAGCAGCAGCAGCAGCAGCAATTGCGGCAGCAGAGTTCGCTTCTTGATTGTACGCAGCAACAGCAGCAGCAGCGGCAATCACAGCGGCAGTGTTCGTGTCTTGACTGCATGTAGCAGCAGCAGCAGCAGCAACTGCAGCAGCAACTGCAGCAGCAGCTGCAGCAGCAGTAACAGCTGCAGCAGCAAGCGCAGAAGTGACTGCAGCAGAATCTGCATTTAAGCCTTCATGAATTGTAAAACTAGCTGCAGCTGCTGCCGCTGCAGTGTCCGCTGCTGCAGCTGCTGCTGCTGCTGCTGCTGCTGCTGCTGCTGTGCTGCGCAATTACTTGTTCTCCATCCTCTGTAGACGACTTCGTCCTTAATGAGCTTCACGTTGTCGATGGGGTTGCTGCTGCTGCTGCTGCTGCTGCTGCTGCTGCTGCTGTCGCAGCTGCTGCTGTTGTTGCTGTTATTTTTGCCGCTGCTGTTGCTGCTGCCGCTGTCTTGGCAGCTGTGGCTGCTGCTGCATCGTTGTGGGGTGTATGTACACCTGAGACACGCGGGAGCCACCGCAGCAACCCTGGGCCGCACCGCTGCTGCTGCTGCTGCTGCTGCTGCTGTTGCTGCTGCTGCTGCTGCTCGTCCGCCGCTGCGGGCCAGCGCAGCAAGGAGCGCCATATTGGCGGGGTGAGACTTGAGGTGTACGTACACCTCGGCCCGAAGCAGAACACTAATGGCAGCAGCAGCAGCAGCAGCAGCAGCAGCAGAAAGGAAGCAGAAGGCAGCCCCACTTCACATCCTCGAGATGAGCTCTATTTTTAGTTAATTAAAAAAGAAACTTGTTTTGCTGCTGCTGCTGCCGCAGCAGCAGCATCTGCTGCTGCGTCTTCCGCTGCTGCAGCAGACGCATGCAGTTCAGGGAAGGCCAGCCAGCAGCCGCCGCAGCAGCAGCAGCAGCAGCAGCAGCAACGAATCCGCTGCAGCTGCTTATAATATTTATTTTTTATTTGCAGCAGCATCAGCTCCTGCTGCTGCTGCGCTGTAGTTACAGCCCAACTTCACGACTGCTGCCTCCAGCCTGCTGCTGCTGCAGCAGTCGCTGCTGCTGCAGCAACTCAGGCCAAGCCGTAGGGCCTCTGCTGCAGCAGCAGCAGCAGCCGCAGCAGAAGCCGCAGCAGCAACCGGAGCCACCACCGCCGCCTCAGCAGCCGCCGCAGCAGCAACAAGAAGCCCGCCAGCAGCAGCAGCAGCAACTGCTGCTGCTGCTGCTGCGCCTTCTAGTCTCGCCCGGGGCTGCGGGCCGGCCCCGCACTGCAAACCCTAAACCCTAAACCCTAAACCCTAAACCCTAAACCCTAATGTCGATCCCCCTAATTACCTGGGAGGCCCCCGAGCCCCAGGGGGCCCCCCCTGACCTTGGAGATGCAGCAGCAACTCCGCTGCTGCAGCTGTCTTTGGAGGAAATGATAGACAGAGAGAAGAACAGCCGCAGCCAGCAGCAGCAGCAGCAGCGGCGGCAGAAGCAGCAGCAGCAGCAGCAGCAGCGGCAGCAGCAGCAGCAGCAGCGGCAGCAGCAGCAGCCCGCGCCCCAGCAGCAGCTGCAGCAGCACCGGCGGCAGGTGCTCCTGCGGCCGAGCCCCTCTGCTGCTGCTGCTGCTGCTGCTGCTGCTGCTGCTGCTGCTGCTGCTGCTGACGCAGGCGGCCGCTGGCTGCAGCTGCTGCGCGCCGTCTGCGTCGAGGCCCTTCACATTCCAGATGTTGGCTGGGAGTCCTTCAGGCTGGTGCAGCAAAACGAACGCGTAAGCCCTGCTGCTGCTGCTGCTGCTGCTGCTGCTGCTGCTGCTGCTGGGGCACTGGTGCTGCTGCTGCTGCGGTTTCGGCGGCGGGGGTGCTGCTGCTGCCAACCTTTTCGCGTTGCTGCTGCTGCGGCTTCTGGCCTCAACAAGGCTAGCTGCCTTGAATACTAGAAAGGGCTAGTTGGCTAGCTAGC